TTTCATGTCGGAATTATTATTCAAAAACATAGAAGTCACAGGACCGGCCAGACTGTGAAAAAAGTGACTTATAGTCCGGAAAATACGGTAACTGTTTACACCAATTGGCTTCTCTCTCTCTCTCTCTCTCAGCCCTTGGGCCTGGGAGGGGGGTGCCTCATCGAGCCCGCATGAGACGGGCACGGCTGCTGGCAGGCTTTGGCCTCTCTGTTCAGTGGGAACGCTTCAAAAGGGATTGAGGAGGTAGCCATGGATGGTGGTGTTGGCTCTGGGATGTGGCTTATAATATACAAGTACCTGAGCGGTGGCGGATGTTGGTCGATTGATTTTTGTTGACTACTGGTGGTACTACTGTCAACAATTGTAGTAGGTCAGGGTGTAAGACCCGCTGCCAAACAAACCTGGACTAAATATTCTATTGTTGGTGACTGGAGGCGTCCATACCAACGCTAAAGGTAGGTCAGGGTGCAATACCCGCTGCCTTACAACCTCTACTAAAAGTATACATTTGTCTCCGGTTAAGATGCTTTCCCCTGATACTCCTAGGGGTGAGTCCCGACCCCTTAGACTGAGAAGGTCCCTCAGTGCTAGCACGGTTATTGCAGTATCCATTAGAAGTGCCATGCTGTGAAAAAGAAGTCCAGGAAGTAGCCCCAGTGGACCTGATGGCAAGAGGCCCAGGATGGCGGGAGACATACAGAAAGATCTTTTTCCAGCAGCACCAATAGTCAAACCCAGTGTGATATTGATGAGCTGGGTGGAGACTTGGAAGTCCCAGATGGTAGCAAGACAGCGCCTCCCCCCGTTTGTTTGGGTCGGTCTTAGTGGACATTCTCCGGCCCACCATGGTAGCCTATGTGAAGTTACATTGACTATGGCTAAGGATGGGGTCAACCACTTGTCTAGAGTGCATTATCCAAGAAAGATTCTCTACTTCTGTAGAGGATATGCCGGGGCATATAGCACACTGGTAAGGGTGACTCACCACACTTCTAAGTGTGGTAACAAACTCAATACCAACAAGTTCGGGAGCATCCTTAACATGTTCCCACTGTCCTGGAACATTTGGTTCGCAGCGCGGGCTGTCGAACCACAAGCGGGCCAAACACACGACACTATACATGAGTGAGGTGCGGACCTCTACCGAAGAGCAAACTGTCTGGAGCCCCAGTGAAGTGTCGTGTTTGGAGAAGCTGCGCAAAGAGAAGGGGGGTAAACCAGGATTCTACGTGGCTGCGTTGGAACTGCTACCGCGATTTGATAAGGTCCAAATAAGGGGCAAATGCAGGTCACTGGCTAAGACTGCATGCCTTGTGAAGGCCAAGGCCTCCGAATCCATCATGACATTGGGGCTGAAAGACTTTAAGCATCTCAGGGCTGTCCTACCTGTGGTAGCGGACGTGGAGTTGGTTAAAAAGAACTGGACCAACATTTTATCGGGCCTGGAGACAGTAAGGGGAG